AACTGATTTTCATTATTTGGTTTTTTCATTTTGTGTGTTTCAATTCGAGTTTAGTTTCAGTTTATTGGGGTTTAAAAATGTTTAGTTTTAGTTTTTCTTTTTTATTGAGTCCTGGGTTAGTTTTGGGGTTGTTTGCAGACAGTGGTTTTACAATACAATATCATTTCAGCAAGTTTGTTGTTTTTTTGACCAAATCTAGTTTTTTTTATTTGTCTATTTAACTAAAATGTTTTTTTCACACAGTTTTTGGTTTAGTTTTTTGTTTACGTTTTAGTGGTTCTATTATAATACCTTGGTGTTGAACAGTGTTTGGGTTAGGTTACTCAAAAACGTGTTTTTATTACTCATTACTCTTTCAAAGTTAATATAGATACTTATTATCCTCTGCCACAGTAATTAGTTACACTAAGTATAATACTTTTCTGCTACTCCACAAAATTGGGGTAACTGTATCCTTTCTCCCCAAAATTTCAAACTTACAACGATTAAATCCAGGTTTTGTTGTTGTTCAGATCAAAGTAATGGAAAATTTTCCAGCTGCTGAATGTTTCCATCTTCAAACGAGTTTTCTCCACGATTACAAAATCTGAATCCAAGAATATTGATTGGATTGTGTTAGTAATGATGTTTTACTGTTAATTTATTGGCTAGTAAGATTACTTTCCATTCTGGGTGTTCAGTGTGATAAAGTGGATGGTTTATTATATAAGATTTATATTGAGCAGGCTTTGGGATGGGGATACAGAAGGCGCCTCAATCGGTTTGGATATGCGTCTGTAGGACAGGGACCATCTTGGAACAGGGGCCTGCCGGGTGTGTATGGCGAGAGTGGAGGTATGGGCAAATAGGGGCAGGTGGTTCAGTAAGCAAGAGCTCATGGAGCTTCGTGGGCGCGGATTTGTTTATTGGGTCTTGTTGCGGTCATGGGGATGTAAGTAAGGCTTTGATGTGATTCAAGTTATGAGGACTTGTGCTAGATTCTATGTGGTGAGTGTGTGAAAGTTATGAGAATAGTGTTGTTTTTCTTATGTGTCTCTCCAGTGGCGCTTGTGGAGCTATGGACCGGCTTGCCTTCAGTATGTGAGTCTCTTGTCCTTCGGCTTGTGTGCAGCAGGCGTACCAGATGTGTAGACGAAGGTGTGGATGGATGGTGGAGGGCGGATGAGGGAAGGCGGGTGTAGAAGTGTACCCTAGTGACTTTGGCAGGTTGAACTTGCCTCAGCTTCCTACAGGAAACATCATCCTCTGGCTGAGCTTTTTTTGGTGAAGAAGCTCATGTTCAGCCCCACTTGGAGTTCATGGGCCCCGCAGCGGGAGGCTTGGGGGAGTCCCTTCCCTGTGGGTGTATGGGCTTTTGATCGGACAACCATCTTCCTCAGTTTCTTTTTTAGCTGGTCTTGAGCTCGCAAGTTTGTTCTGTCTGCAGGTCACCAGTATGGGTCCATCAAACAAGCACACAAAATTAGGATGAACCTGTCTGATAGTTAGCAAGACATCTCATAAACCATTACTTAGAGGATTTCGGGCAGGTTCTGCAGAACTGTTTGCCTCTTTTTTTTTCCAACATTGTTTGGGGTGTTGGGGGAGGGGAGTTTGGCCCTATGACGCCACTCCTACCCACACCTCCCCAGCCATCAATCGCTTCCAACCAGCAGCCTCAACCCTGCCAGCCCCCAACGCGCAGCCCAGGTGCCTGCAAGCTCCTCTCTGCCGCATGGTTTTCTGTATGCGTGTGTGAACTGGGGAAGGGGATGAATGGCTGCAGTGTTTTTCGCGGGGGAGCATGAATACAGTGTGTGCTCTAAAAGACAGGCATGCTGCATTCACACTCGCTTTTCCACTTTTTCAAAACTCACGCTCTGTCAGCCGTCTGCTGAATACGGACTGTTGCTGGAGAACCGTGCACCACAATGCGTATCGTGATTACGTATTGTATCGCCAGATTCCTGTCAATACACAGCGCGCTAATAAAAACTGCATGTACTTGAATATGTTTGGGTGCAAAATCATGAGGCACAGGGGCTAACTGAATGGTTCTGGATGAAGATGAAATGATGTAAATCATGGTAGTCACCAGATCTCACCCAACTAAACACCTATGGGGGTTTTTTGGACCTGCCGCGTGTCAGGATAGCAGCTCTCTGGCACCATGCCTTGAGAGGAGGGCGCGTGCTTTTGGAAGGAAGCCGTTCGATGCCCTGCAGCAGGGCTCCACAGACGAAAAAGAGAATCGATGCCAGGAGCACTGGGAAGCTGTTTCTGGAGGCTCGGGGGGCGGAGCAGCACTCACTGGAAGGACTTTATAAAAAAAAATGGGGCAGCGATTGCTCCTGGACTATAGATTTCAGTTGGTGGGTGCTCTTTGTCGTTGGAAAAAAGGACTACAATATGTTTTGTGTTCCCACAACAAATAGGGAGAAAAAGATTTTTAGCCACCAATAGATGTTCATTTTGGTGAATTTGATTAATATTTCATAATTGGGTTTTCAACAAAAGCTGGGGACAAAACAGCTGGGGAAAGCTGTCGATGAAAATGTCATTGGCAAAACAACATCAGCAGTTTGGGAACAGATATCTTGATTAGAGCACTTTATGTTGTTTTTTCTCCATTTCTCCCTGTCTGTATGATAGATAGCTATTATGGAAATCCTTGATATCACAATATTGGTTATTTTGAAGGAACAGTGTAGGATTGGTAGGATTGTTAGGATTTAGTGACATCTAGTAGTAAACTTGCGATATAACTAACTGAACACTACTCGTGTTCTGTTATTTTGACGGACTTGGGTATAAGAAGGGCAGTGAAAGGGGTAGGAGAAACTGCAATGGCAGCAAAACGCAAGAAAAACATGATACATAACTACAATAGTATAGTGTATTGGTAAGGGGAGCAAATTAGACGCTACTGTTGTCTTTGTCAGGGGGGGTGGGGTTTTGAAAGGAGTGGGAGGTTTTGGGGGTGAGTGTCTTGAAGGTGGAGTGTAGCTTATCTAGTCAGTCTTATGTACTTAGGAGAATTAACGAGAGGGGAGATAAAAGGGCTTGGTTACACAAGAGGGGGGGAGAGGGAGGGGAGAGAGCCCTTCGTAAATGTGTGTGCAGGGTGGGGGTTTGGTGATCTCTGTGTGGTCCTGATTGATATTGGCATGTGGATGGTCTCAGAGGCGTGACAGCGACGTCCGCGTGTAGGGAGGGGGCAGATGGAGGAGTGGACCTGAATATATCATCGAGCACAGGAAATTTTATAGCCTCAGTCATAGCCAGCTTTAATGAATGGCTTGTTTTCATGCTGTAACTATAGCTGAAGACTGGTGGCTTGTTTGGGAAAATAGGCAAGGAATGACTGTTTGATGTGAATTTAGGAGCGGCAGCTATGGAGCAGCCAGGAAATCTGATTTTAAAGTTGTCTTAACAGTGGGGGGCATGCATTAGGCAGGGGGTCGCTTTGAGAGAGATAATGTCAAATACACTTAAATCCATCGATCTATATCATAGCTTTCAGCATGCCAAACCAGTGCTCAATGTTGTCTCTCTGAATTAAATAAAGTTATTGCTTATTTGCTGTTCATTAATGGAGGTCGTGAGTGAAAACTTGGGGGGACCAGGCCATGACAGCTGGATGAGATGCATGGCTCCACTTGGGCAGAAGGGTGCTTGCGCATGCACAGTCATTTGCTCCAGCAGCTAATGCTGCCTTCACATTACTGGAGGAAATTTGGACGCTGCCAGGCACACATAAACACACCAGCAATGAAAACTAAATAGACGATGACATTATGTTCAGGTAAATCTGTCATGGTTGAACCAACATAAAAAGGGTCAGTTACCCTTTGTACGTCATGTTGTATTTGTTAGTTGTATTTATTTATCCGTTATTTATTTATCTATGCACCACTGGGTTTCAGCATAAGAGGTTATAAATTGTCTATTCATTTTAGTACCCAAGACTTATTTTTTAAAAGTCTACTCTACTATCAACATTGGTTGTAGAAAATACGGGAGGCGCCAATGAAGGCAGCATGATATATGTCCCCTTGAGAACTTTGTTAGCCTGTGGGGAGGCACCGAACCGTTCCACACTACTTACGGCACATGGTGGGGGGGAAGAAACCTTGCTGGAGGTGAAACCAGGCAGAGTCACAAACAACCAAGTATTTACTTTTACTGCATGGAAAATGCGCTTGCTTTTCCACCAAGGCGTTAGGTAGTGTGTGAACTTAGTGAAAGTTGGGATGTCCGGGAGGAAATTTAGCAAGTCCGGACTGAACGTGGAAATTTCTCTGTGTCTTCCGTAACCTCGAGAATTAATGTTATCAGGTCCCCTCGGCTAAT